AGGAGGAGGGCCCAGAACACTGGAGGAGGGCCCAGAACACAGGAGGAGGGTCCAGAACACTGGAGGAGGGCCCTCGGAACACAGGAGGAGGGCCCGGAACACTGGAGGAGGGGCCAGAACACTGGAGGAGGGCCCGAAACACTGGAGGAGGGGCCCAGAACACAGGAGGAGGGCCCAGAACACTGGAGGAGGGCCCAGAACACAGGAGGAGGGTCCAGAACACTGGAGGAGGGCCCAGAACACAGGAGGAGGGTCCAGAACACTGGAGGAGGGCCCAGAACACTGGAGGAGGGCCCAGAACACTGGAGGAGGGCCCAGAACACTGGAGGAGGGCCCAGAACACTGGAGAAGAGCCCAGAACACAGAAAAAGGGCCCAGAACACTGGAGGAGGGCCCAGAACACAGGAGGAGGGTCCAGAACACTGGAGGAGGGCCCAGAAGACTGGATGAGGGCCCAGAATACTGGAGGAGAGCCCAGAATACAGCAGAAGGGCCCAGAACACAGCAGGAGGGCCCAAAACACAGGAGGAGTGCCCAGAACACAGGAGGAGTGCCCAGAACACAGGAGGAGGGCCCAGAACACAGCTGGAGGGCCCAGAACACGGCAGGAGGGCCCAGAACACAGGAGGAGGGCCCAGAACACAGCTGGAGGGCCCAGAACACGGCAGGAGGGCCCAGAACACAGGAGGAGGTGCCTGGAACACTGGGTAATGTGGGCGGACGCGAGACGAGGCGCGGGCCTCAGTAGTCTCCCCTCTCAGGTGAGTGCCACAGTGCCATCTCTCTCTTGAACTTATATTCGAGTACTAACATTTGTACTCACCTAGTTGTGCTTGCGGGGGTTGAGCTCTGGCTCTTTGGTCCCGCCTCTCACCCGTCAATCAACTGGTGTACAGGTTCCTGAGCCTACCGGGCTCTGTCATACCTACATTTGAAACTGTGTATGAAGTCAGCCTCCACCACATCACTGCCTAATGCATTCCATCCGTTAACTACTCTGACACAGAAAAAGTTCTTGCTAACGTCTCTGTGGCTCATTTGGGTACTCAGTTTCCACCTGTGTCCCCTTGTTCGCGTCCCACCAGTGTTGAATGTCTTAATCTTCCCTGGCTATTCCACTGAGAATTTTCTGTTGTAATCATGTCTCCGCTGACTCATGAGCATCTACACTCATGCTCTCAGCGTTGATGCTCTGAGTGTTGATGCTCTGAGTGTTGATGTTCAGGGTGTTGTTGTTCTGGGTGTTGTTGTTCAGGGTGTTGATGTTCTGAGTGTTGATGTTCTAGGTGTTGATGTTCTGAGTGTTGATGTTCTGAGTGTTGATGTTCTAGGTGTTGATGTTCTGAGTGTTGATGTTCAGGGTGTTGATGTTCTGAGTGTTGATGTTCTGGGTGTTGATGTTCTGAGTGTTGATGTTCTAGGTGTTGATGTTCTGAGTGTTGATGTTCTGAGTGTTGATGTTCAGGGTGTTGATGTTCTGAGTGTTGATGTTCTGGGTGTTGATGTTCTGAGTGTTGATGCTCTGAGTGTTGATGTTCTGGGTGTTGTTGTTCAGGGTGTTGATGTTCTGAGTGTTGATGTTCTGGGTGTTGATGTTCTGAGTGTTGATGTTCTGAGTGTTGTTGTTCTGAGTGTTGATGTTCTGGGTGTTGATGTTCAGGGTGTTGATGCTCTGAGTGTTGATGTTCAGGGTGTTGATGTTCTGAGTGTTGATGTTCTGAGTGTTGTTGTTCTGAGTGTTGATGTTCTGGGTGTTGATGTTCAGGGTGTTGATGCTCTGAGTGTTGATGTTCAGGGTGTTGATGCTCTGAGTGTTGATGTTCAGGGTGTTGTTGTTCTGAGTGTTGATGTTCTGAGTGTTGTTGTTCTGAGTGTTGATGTTCTGGGTGTTGATGTTCAGGGTGTTGATGTTCTGAGTGTTGATGTTCTGAGTGTTGATGCTCTGAGTGTTGATGTTCTGGGTGTTGATGTTCAGGGTGTTGATGTTCTGAGTGTTGATGCTCTGAGTGTTGATGTTCAGGGTGTTGATGCTCTGAGTGTTGATGTTCAGGGTGTTGATGTTCTGAGTGTTGATGTTCAGGGTGTTGATGCTATGAGTGTTGATGTTCTGAGTGTTGATGTTCTGAGTGTTGATGTTCAGGGTGTTGATGTTCTGAGTGTTGATGTTCTGAGTGTTGTTGTTCAGGGTGTTGATGTTCTGAGTGTTGATGTTCAGGGTGTTGATGTTCAGGGTGTTGTTGTTCTGAGTGTTGATGTTCTGAGTGTTGTTGTTCTGAGTGTTGATGTTCTGGGTGTTGATGTTCAGGGTGTTGATGTTCTGAGTGTTGATGTTCAGGGTGTTGATGCTATGAGTGTTGATGTTCTGAGTGTTGATGTTCTGAGTGTTGATGTTCAGGGTGTTGATGTTCTAAGTGTTGATGTTCAGGGTGTTGATGTTCAGGGTGTTGTTGTTCTGAGTGTTGATGTTCAGGGTGTTGATGTTCTGAGTGTTGATGTTCTGAGTGTTGATGTTTGGGTGTTGATGTTCTGAGTGTTGATGTTCTGAGTGTTGATGTTCAGGGTGTTGATGTTCTGAGTGTTGATGTTCTGAGTGTTGATGTTTGGGTGTTGATGTTCTGAGTGTTGATGTTCTGAGTGTTGATGTTCAGGGTGTTGATGTTCTGAGTGTTGATGTTCAGGGCGTTGAAGTTCTGAGTGTTGATGCTCTGAGTGTTGATGTTCTGGGTGTTGATGTTCAGGGTGTTGATGTTCTGAGTGTTGATGTTCTGAGTGTTGATGTTCTGAGTGTTGATGCTCTGAGTGTTGATGTTCAGGGTGTTGTTGTTCTGAGTGTTGATGTTCTGAGTGTTGATGTTCTGAGTGTTGATGTTCTGAGTGTTGATGTTCTGGGTGTTGATGTTCAGGGTGTTGTTGTTCTGAGTGTTGATGTTCAGGGTGTTGTTGTTCTGAGTGTTGATGTTCTGGGTGTTGATGTTCTGAGTGTTGATGCTCTGAGTGTTGATGTTCTGAGTGTTGATGTTCTGAGTGTTGATGCTCTGAGTGTTGATGTTCAGGGTGTTGTTGTTCTGAGTGTTGATGTTCTGAGTGTTGATGTTCTGAGTGTTGATGTTCAGGGTGTTGTTGTTCTGAGTGTTGATGTTCTGGGTGTTGATGTTCAGGGTGTTGTTGTTCTGAGTGTTGATGTTCTGAGTGTTGTTGTTCTGAGTGTTGATGTTCTAGGTGTTGATGTTCTGAGTGTTGATGTTCTGAGTGTTGTTGTTCTGAGTGTTGATGTTCAGGGTGTTGATGTTCAGGGTGTTGATGTTCTGAGTGTTGATGTTCTGAGTGTTGTTGTTCTGAGTGTTGATGTTCAGGGTGTTGATGTTCAGGGTGTTGATGTTCTGAGTGTTGATGTTCTGAGTGTTGTTGTTCTGAGTGTTGATGTTCAGGGTGTTGATGTTCTGAGTGTTGATGTTCTGAGTGTTGTTGTTCTGAGTGTTGATGTTCAGGGTGTTGATGTTCTGAGTGTTGATGTTCTGAGTGTTGTTGTTCTGAGTGTTGATGTTCTGAGTGTTAATGTTCAGGGTGTTGATGTTCAGGGTGTTGATGTTCTGAGTGTTGATGTTCTGAGTGTTGATGTTCTGAGTGTTGATGTTCTGAGTGTTGATGTTCAGGGTGTTGATGTTCTGAGTGTTGATGCTCTGAGTGTTGATGTTCAGGGTGTTGATGTTCAGGGTGTTGATGTTCTGAGTGTTGATGCTCTGAGTGTTGATGTTCTGAGTGTTGATGTTCTGAGTGTTGATGTTCTGAGTGTTGATGTTCTGAGTGTTGATGTTCAGGGTGTTGTTGTTCTGAGTGTTGATGTTCTGAGTGTTGATGTTCTGGGTGTTGATGTTCTGAGTGTTAATGTTCAGGGTGTTGATGTTCAGGGTGTTGATGTTCTGAGTGTTGATGTTCTGGGTGTTGATGTTCTGAGTGTTGATGTTCTGAGTGTTGATGTTCTGAGTGTTGATGTTCTGAGTGTTGATGTTACCTTTACTGCTCTAACCATCTTGGCCTTAACCTCACCCTTGGGTCAAGCCCACCGAGAGGTCTGGAGGGCGACCTGGCCTGACCTCGGGGGGCCTCAGGAGGTCACCCTCGGAGCCTCCCAGAGTGGTCGTTGTGTCTGGTAGTTGGTACAGTGGGTCGTTAACCATCTGGTCCGGGAGGCCTATGTTTAATTTTATTATTATGCACCCCATACCCATCTTGTGGGCGATGAAAGCGTTACGGAGGCACATAATGGATTCAGGGACTGAACCCATAGTTCGTTTAGCTAAGCAAGTAACAGCCTTGGGAAGCTAGTTACACAATTGTTTATGTTACATATATATATATATATATATATATATATATATATATATATATATATATATATATATATATATATATATATATATATATATATATATATATATATATATATATATATATATATATATATATATATATATATATATATATATATATATATATATATATATATATATATATATATATGTATATGTATAGTATCAACCCATGTATATCTTGTAACCATCAAATACATAATAAAGTAAAAAAAATACAAAAGGAAGGGGGTGGTAGGAGAAAAGCACACAGAAACTGTATTGGAGGGGATCTAAACATTCCCTCTAATGCGTTATGCGTGGTTTCCTCCGAGGCTATGGGTCCCCCTTTTTACAGCTGGTATATATATATATATATATATATATATATATATATATATATATATATATATATATATATATATATATATATATATATATATGTCGTACCTAGTAGCCAGAACGCACTTCTCTGCCTACTATGCAAGGCCCGATTTGCCTAATAAGCCAAGTTTTCCTGAATTATTATATTTTCTCTAATTTTTTTTCTTATGAAATGATAAAGCTACCCATTTCATAATGTATGAGGTCAATTTTTTTTTATTGGAGTTAAAACTAACGTAGATATATGACCGAACCTAACCAACCCTACCTAACCTAACCTAACCTATCTTTATAGGTTAGGTTAGGTTAGGTTAGGCTAGGTAGCTGAAAAAGTTAGGTTAGGTTAGGTAGGTTAGGTAGTCGAAAAACAATTAATTCACGAAAACTTGGCTTATTAGGCAAATCGGGCCTTGCAAAGTAGGCAGAGAAGTGCATTCTGGCTACTAGGTACGACATATATATATATATATATATATATATATATATATATATATATATATATATATATATATATATATATATATATATATATATATATATATATGTCGTACCTAGTAGCCAGAACGCACTTCTCAGCCTACTATGCAAGGCCCAATTTGCCTAATAAGCCAAGTTTTCATGAATTAATTGTTTTTCGACTACCTAACCTACCTAACCTAACCTAACCTAACTTTTTCGACTACCTAACCAAACCTAACCTATAAAGATAGGTTAGGTTAGGTTAGGTAGGGTTGGTTAGGTTCGGTCATATATCTACGTTAATTTTAACTCCAATAAAAAAAATTGACCTCATACATAATGAAATGGGTATCTTTATCATTTCATAAGAAAAAAATTAGAGAAAATATATTAATTCAGGAAAACTTGGCTTATTAGGCAAATTTGGCCTGCATAGTAGGCCAAAAAGTGCGTTCTGGCTACTAGGTACGACATATATATATATATATATATATATATATATATATATATATATATATATATATATATATATATATATATATATATATATATATATATGCAAACAAGCCTGAATGGTCCCCAGGACTATATACAACTGAAAACTCACACCCCAGAAGTGACTCGAACCCATACTCCCACAACTGGTATGTACAGGGACGCCTTAATCCGCTTGACCATCACGACCGGACAAAAGGAAGTGATAGCCGAGGCTATATGAACCACTTCCCCGCCGGCACTCGGATGGTAATCTTGGGCATAGCATTTTATCAAATCACCTCATTCTTTGGGGCACACGTGAGGAACACAAATGCAAACAAGCCTGAATGGTCCCCAGGACTATATACAACTGAAAACTCACACCCCAGAAGTGACTCGAACCCATACTCCCACAACTGGTATGTACAGGGACGCCTTAATCCGCTTGACCATCACGACCGGACAAAAGGAAGTGATAGCCGAGGCTATATGAACCACTTCCCCGCCGGCACTCGGATGGTAATCTTGGGCATAGCATTTTATCAAATCACCTCATTCTTTGGGGCACACGTGAGGAACACAAATGCAAACAAGCCTGAATGGTCCCCAGGACTATATACAACTGAAAACTCACACCCCAGAAGTGACTCGAACCCATACTCCCACAACTGGTATGTACAGGGACGCCTTAATCCGCTTGACCATCACGACCGGACAAAAGGAAGTGATAGCCGAGGCTATATGAACCACTTCCCCGCCGGCACTCGGATGGTAATCTTGGGCATAGCATTTTATCAAATCACCTCATTCTTTGGGGCACACGTGAGGAACACAAATGCAAACAAGCCTGAATGGTCCCCAGGACTATATACAACTGAAAACTCACACCCCAGAAGTGACTCGAACCCATACTCCCACAACTGGTATGTACAGGGACGCCTTAATCCGCTTGACCATCACGACCGGACAAAAGGAAGTGATAGCCGAGGCTATATGAACCACTTCCCCGCCGGCACTCGGATGGTAATCTTGGGCATAGCATTTTATCAAATCACCTCATTCTTTGGGGCACACGTGAGGAACACAAATGCAAACAAGCCTGAATGGTCCCCAGGACTATATACAACTGAAAACTCACACCCCAGAAGTGACTCGAACCCATACTCCCACAACTGGTATGTACAGGGACGCCTTAATCCGCTTGACCATCACGACCGGACAAAAGGAAGTGATAGCCGAGGCTATATGAACCACTTCCCCGCCGGCACTCGGATGGTAATCTTGGGCATAGCATTTTATCAAATCACCTCATTCTTTGGGGCACACGTGAGGAACACAAATGCAAACAAGCCTGAATGGTCCCCAGGACTATATACAACTGAAAACTCACACCCCAGAAGTGACTCGAACCCATACTCCGGTCGTGATGGTCAAGCGGATTAAGGCGTCCCTGTACATACCAGTTGTGGGAGTATGGGTTCGAGTCACTTCTGGGGTGTGAGTTTTCAGTTGTATATAGTCCTGGGACCATTCAGGCTTGTTTGCATTTGTGTTCCTCACGTGTGCCCCAAAGAATGAGGTGATTTGATAAAATGCTATGCCCAAGATTACCATCCGAGTGCCGGCGGGGAAGTGGTTCATATAGCCTCGGCTATCACTTCCTTTGTCCGGTCGTGATGGTCAAGCGGATTAAGGCGTCCCTGTACATACCAGTTGTGGGAGTATGGGTTCGAGTCACTTCTGGGGTGTGAGTTTTCAGTTGTATATAGTCCTGGGGACCATTCAGGCTTGTTTGCATTTGTGTTCCTCACGTGTGCCCCAAAGAATGAGGTGATTTGATAAAATGCTATGCCCAAGATTACCATCCGAGTGCCGGCGGGGAAGTGGTTCATATAGCCTCGGCTATCACTTCCTTTTGTCCGGTCGTGATGGTCAAGCGGATTAAGGCGTCCCTGTACATACCAGTTGTGGGAGTATGGGTTCGAGTCACTTCTGGGGTGTGAGTTTTCAGTTGTATATAGTCCTGGGGACCATTCAGGCTTGTTTGCATTTGTGTTCCTCACGTGTGCCCCAAAGAATGAGGTGATTTGATAAAATGCTATGCCCAAGATTACCATCCGAGTGCCGGCGGGGAAGTGGTTCATATAGCCTCGGCTATCACTTCCTTTTGTCCCGGTCGTGATGGTCAAGCGGATTAAGGCGTCCCTGTACATACCAGTTGTGGGAGTATGGGTTCGAGTCACTTCTGGGGTGTGAGTTTTCAGTTGTATATAGTCCTGGGGACCATTCAGGCTTGTTTGCATTTGTGTTCCTCACGTGTGCCCCAAAGAATGAGGTGATTTGATAAAATGCTATGCCCAAGATTACCATCCGAGTGCCGGCGGGGAAGTGGTTCATATAGCCTCGGCTATCACTTCCTTTTGTCCGGTCGTGATGGTCAAGCGGATTAAGGCGTCCCTGTACATACCAGTTGTGGGAGTATGGGTTCGAGTCACTTCTGGGGTGTGAGTTTTCAGTTATATATATATATATATATATATATGTCGTACCTAGTAGCCAGAACTCACTTCTCAGCCTACTATTCAAGGCCCGATTTGCCTAATAAGCCAAGTTTTCCTGAATTAATATTTTTACTATAATTTTTTTCTTATGAAATGATAAAGCTTCCCTTTTCACTATGTATGAGGTCAATTTATTTTTATTGGAGTTAAAATTAACGTAGATATATGACCGAACCTAACCAACCCTACCTAACCTAACCTAACCTATATTTATAAGTAAGGTTAGGTTAGGTAGCCAAAAAAAGCTAGGTTAGGTTAGGTTAGGTAGGTTAGGTAGACGAAAAAAACATTAATTCATGAAAACTTGGCTTATTAGGCAATCGGGCCTTGTATAGTAGGCTGAGAAGTGAGTTCTGGCTACTAGGTACGACATATATATATATATATATATATATATATATATATATATATATATATATATATATATATACATATAAAAGTTTGTGAGGGTACCACCTCTGGTGCCAATGTGGGGACCCATAGCCTCGGAGAAGAAAATAAAAAAGTATTCAGAGGAGACCTTGTGGTTTCTCACTGAACACTAATATTATCTTCTCCTACCACCCCCATTCTTTTGTGTGTACACATATATATTTATTTGAACTTTGTTACAAAAAAGGAGTTACATATGGGTTACAAAGATGGTTATCATAGGTTGTCGAGTTCCTCCAGCTCCTCAGATGGCGGGCAGGAACCCTGGATGCAGTGCGCATTTCCCCTCTGTATCGCCACACTGAGGCGCTGGAAAAGAAAGCTTGCAGCTCTTGGGTCCCTTGTTGTTTCAATGAGCCTAGAACCCAGTTCCTTCAAAAAATTCAAAAGTTCCTTCAATATATATATATATATATATATATATATATATATATATAATATATATATATATATATATATATATATATATATATATATATATATATATATATATATGAAAATACATATTTTTCATATCATACGTGATTGGACAAGAGGCTCACAACAGTCTCTATACAAGCCACTTTACATATCAAAGCCGCTGTTGTTGATTTTTTGTATTTATTTTAAAAACAAAATCAGACCCCGACACTCCTTAATGACAGTCCCTAACCACCCAACAGTTACACTGCAAAGTTTAGTGGGGCTGAACCCCAAACTTGGACAAATAGACATTATATTTGACTATATATATTGTGATGTGAAGGTGTTTAAAGAAAGGCAAGAGCAGCATACGTCAGCTGGTGTTGCTTCATGTGTTTATAGGGACCTATAAGCTCCCACCTGCAACACCCTATTTTAGTGTGTTGCAGGGTGATAGTGGTGCAGTGGGCGGCGTGGTAACTGTTGTGTGTGTGTTGCAGGTGTCGTCGTCATGGCGGTGTGAGCGGAGCCCCAGGATGGTGGGCGGGCTTGTGGCGGCCGTGATGCTGGCCGTGGTGGGGCTGGCCTGCGCCCACCCCGACACCGACGACCTCCACGACCTGGGCCTCAGCGTCGTCGCCAAGCGCGACCTGGAGTTCAACCAGTACGTGCCCGGGTACAGGCTGCGGGGCGAGCCCAGCTGCGAGGAGCTGCGCGAGATGTGGCGACTCAGCAAGCGCGAGGCCCGGCGAGCCACCTCCACCAACCAGCTGCCCAGGACCCGCTCCTACAACAACTACGGCAGACACAGGACCTTCGGCCCGGACTCCAACGGCCGGTCCAAGTCCTCCATCTACGGCAGCATCATACCCTATCCAAGCCCCTCGCAAGCCCGCCCTAGCCCCTTCGAGAATCTGAGGGCTATCCTGGGCTCTGGGAACCGCCAGGGCAAGTATGATGCGGTGCACCGTAAACTGACCGCGATGCGAGGACCTGGCCGCTCCTCTAAGGGCCGGTACGACGAGCTGCGGAGGATGATGGCGGCGGAGCGTCAGGAGCCGCGTCCCGTGGCCCTCGCCCTCCGTGCGTCACCGCAGGAGGCTCACCAGCCTAGTCCCAAGTCCCGCAGGGAGCCCCCGGCCATGTACCCCAGGACCATGGCGGGCTCCACGCACTTCAGCCACCAAGGGTTCGTGGGCCCGTTATTGCCCGCTGACTCCAGACTCACCGCATTCACCCCTGGCAGCCAGCGGCCTCAGCCCCTGATATGGTGAGTACTCTGGTCCCTTGTTCTCACACTCTACTGCCTTGTTACACAAATGTAGCCAATGACCACACTCCATGGTTCACTCTCGTCCGGCGATAACATTTTCCTACCGTCAGACAACTCATGGTAGCTCTCTTAGGCAAGCAGTCTTACACTTCTCTATGCTCGGTTCAACCCAATGGAAATCGTTCACCAGATTCAATAAGCATTATGGCTCTACTGGGTCTTGAAGGTCGTGCCGATCGTATCCTACTTAGATGAAGGTTCTCAATCAGCTGTGGACTCAGCATTAATATTCATGACAGGCTAGATCAATTAGAAGCAAAGAATAGTGATATAAGTAAATGAGAGGATTTACAGTGTTGTGTGGTATCCATATATGTGTGTGTGTGTGTGTGTGTGTTGTGTGTGTGTGTGTGTGTGTGTGTTGTGTGTGTGTGTGTGTGTGTGTGTGTGTGTGGTGTGTGTGTGTGTGTGTGTGTGTGTGTGTGTGTGTGTGTTGTGTGTGTGGGTGTGTGGGTGTGTGGGTGTGTGGGTGTGTGGGTGTGTGTGTGTGTGTGTGTGTGTGTGTGTGTGTGTGTGTGTGTGTGTGTGTGTGTGTGTGTGTGTGTGTGTGTGTGTGTGTGTGTGTGTGTGTGTGTGTGTGTAAATCACGAACATTAGCACGTGATGAAAAATGTGACAGTGTCAGACCACGGAGGAAGAAGTGAAACAAGAATTTCCTTAAGTACTTTCGTATATTAATACATCTTCAGAAGTAATACATCTTCATTTCTTCTGAAGATGTATTCCTTAGAAAACCGTTAGAGAAGATGGCTTCTCTACGGTTTTGTTGAAGACATCATAAAAAAGAAAGATAAAATGCCATGCAACCTCTGAAGAGTCAACTAACACAACACAGGTACCCTCTATTAAATTATTTTACAGGAACTTCTTTTCGACGGCTCATAAAACGGAGGAAAGGGTCCTGAAAGATATTGTTGATAGGAACGTTATCCCTACAGACAATTCAATTTCTTTCTTTATTATGCACCCCATACTCATCCCGTGGGCGGTGGTGTAAAGGATTACAGAGCCACATAATCGGTTCAGGAACTGAACCCTCTAGTTCGTTTAGTTAAGCAAATAAAAATTTTTGACGCTAGTTACAAAATTATTAATGTTATATATACATGTACACATTCTCATACGTACATGTACATATATATATATATACATATACATATATACATACACATAAATATTTAATCACCCACACAAGTACACACATCAATAATCTTTTGTGTCACAAG